GACAAAAGTGGCAAGGGAGCACCTGCCACGGTTTATGCTGCCAATCCCCTGGCCCTGCTGTGTCGCTTAACGGCCGAGAGGCCAGAATTTGGCGATCTCCTCAAGGGCCTGATGCAGAGCTCCGAGGTGCCAAGTCTGGTTTTCTATGCAGATGGGGCCACGCCTGGGAATGTGCTGCGTGTGGGAGATGCTTCCAGGGAGCAGATGTGCGTGTATTGGTCGATTCTGCAGCTCCCTGGCTTTGTCAGATCCCAAGACTGCGGCTGGTGGCATGTGTTGAGCTGTCCGACCAAACAGCTCGACAAAACTCCTGGCGGCCTGTCATGGCTTTATGCCAAGGTTCTGGAGATGTTCTTTGGAACAACAGAGCTGCCCGTGACGGGAAACTTCCTTGAGGGCGTTCACTGCACATGCAGCGAAGGCTCTTTCGTGTTCAGAGCACGAATGGGCCCGCTGTTGGCAGATGAGAAAGCAATCAAGGAAGTCTGGTGCCGCAAAGGCGCCTCAGGCAGCAAGCCTTGTTTCCAATGCCGAAGAAGTGCCGCCGAATGGGTGGTTGGTGCATACCTCTTGTTGCCAGCCGAGCAAATTCGTGGCACATACAGAGGCCACGTTCCAGGCCATGGTTTCCAGAGTGCAATCTGCCGCAACCGCCGGCGAGCGCAAAAAGCTTGGTCAGGTGTTTGGACTTACGTATACACCTGCTGGAATCCTCTGGCAAGCAAGATGGCTTGGTCGCATCAACCCCATTGCTCACACCTGCTGGGACTGGATGCACATCTTGGTTGCAAGCGGCGGGGTTGGGCAATACCACTTGAATGGCTATTGCTGCGCACTGGTGGCAGAAGGCATACCGCTGAAGACTTTAGATGACTTTGCACGTGCATGGGTATGGCCGAGATCCCAACACCGCTTGCCGCCGAACTTCTTCTCACAACGAGTGAACTCCGCCACACATTGGAAACCATGTTTTGTGTTTTGAATTATAAAGACAGTATACAGATAAACCGTTTTCCTCTTTCTAGCACCAGAAATCCTTGCTTTTCTGAATTTCTGCCTCGGTCAGGCAGGAGATAGAATCTCATATGAGGGCCTTCGCTGGAGAAATGCTGACAGCTGTGCGTTGCGTGCATGGTTTCCAGATGGAGGTTTTGGCCTCGACGGGGATCCTTCCGCAGCACCAACGCTGTTTGGAAGTGCTGGCTCGGATTTTGGAGATACTCCGGCTTGGAGATCGGGCAAAGCTGCATCTTTCGGAGCTGACGCTCTGCATTGCTGAGCACGCTGAGATCTGCCGCGAGATATATCCATATGCTGCCAAGCCAAAGTTCCACTATCTATTTCATGTTCCGGATTGCATCCGGAGATTCGGCAACCTGAACTGCTTCGCAACGGAGAGGAAACACAAGAAGGTCAAGGCCCTTGCTGCGCGATATGCTGTGGAGGCTCATGCTGCGCACGACAATCTCTGCCTTCGAACTTTGGCAGAGGATTTGCGGAGCATGGAGCAAGCGGCCCTCGATCCTGTGTCGCTAGCAGGGCCGGTGATGGAGGCCCCTGCGCAAGATCTGGCCTATGTCGCGCCGTTCGTCCCAGATGCAGTGGCTTTGCGGTCCTCTACAGAGATGCCTGGCAGAATCTAGGAACTTCTGTGTCCAGTATATTAATATGCTCTGTTGTTGAAAACACCGCTCTTTCAGTCTATATAATACAGCATATCATGTCTTCTGAGGATGAGGACGAAGACTGGGTCATTCTCTGCAGGGGATGTGTTGTGGTGCCCTGGCAACGCTTTCATCCTTCAAGTTGGGCGTTGCTTGGAAGTGCTTCGGCGCCCTGGAGACCGGGTGTTCCTGGCCAAATGCTCCATGCATGAACAGCTGGAAGGGAATGTTTTCTTGGCGGCGGGCAAGGCATGCCTATATGAGGTCTGTGATGAAACGGCCTCCTGGCGGCTTATGTGTATAGGTCCCTTTATGAAAATTATAGGGAATTACAGTTTAATTTGGTATGTAATAGTGCTACCACATATCTATATATATATATATGTATATTCTTTCCTTTGCTGGCACAAATGCAGGTAGCCGTCCCATACACGATTCTTTCGACCGGCAACGTGAAAGTGTACCCTGGATGTGGTTGCATGGTATGAACGTCTGCGCAAGCCGAGCTTCCTGTCACGACCATGCTGCCACGGAAAAAACACAGAGAGTTCAACAGTTGTAGCAGCACACAGAAGGATCTATAGTCCTTGAGCCCCAGACAAACCACACCCTTTCTGCATTTTCCCAAGCTATAGTATAGCCATGCTTGTGAAAGTGTATTTATCCGCTGCGTTGTCTATCTCAAAACAGAAAGCTTTTAGGAGTGAGCACAGAGGGTTACCCTTGTGCTTCTTTTGTTTTTGCAAAGGCTCACCTTGTTGGAAGGCATGGCCTCCGCTGCTGAGAAGCCGAGTGCGGAGGAGCCCCTCGCACAGTTGCCGGCTGAAGCGGCAAACTTGCAGGTGACGGTGCAGCCTCCTGAGGCCCTGCAGGTTGCAAAGGAAGAGGAAAACCCTGAGGCTGCGTCTGCAAAAGAGCAGCAGCTGACGGCTGCAGAGGACGATGAGGAGAGCCTGCGCTGTACGACGTGCCACCGCATAGTGGACGTGGAGAACACGGTGGTCGTCAACCGGCAGACCACCAAGCGCAAGGAGTCGCGGCGCTGCAAAAGCTGCCACAACCTGCGCTCTGCTGTGCAGCGGCTGCAAAAGAACCACGGAGCTTTGGTGCAGGACTTCACGCAGGTTCCGGGCAACAAGGTGGAAAACTTCTACAAAGACCACGGGGACCTCAGAGGTGAAGACCTGCGGTTGGCCTTGCAGCAAGTCGTGACAGACTGGAAGCAGAGCACGACAGAGCTGACCTTCGCGGGAACTGGAGAGTTCCTGGACTTGGTGGATCTGGAGAAGAAATACGCAGACCGCCCCAGCCAACTGGAGAGCATCAAAGAAAAGACGTACAGATTTTGGGATCATGTCCGTGGATGCTATCTTTACGAAGATGTGCAGTACACCCGGACTGCGCAAGACAAGATCGTCCAGGGGACCTGCAACAAGCGCAAAGCGCAGGTCCACCTCCTCGGCGAGGATGACCCGCCGGAGGACCCTGCTGCAGGCAAGGCTTCTGCTGGGTCTGGGTCGGGCTCGCACAAGAAGCCCAAAAAGAGCCAGAAGGGCAATGGTGAGGAACTTCCCACCATAAAGGCCCCGCTGCTGAAGAAGTTGTCTGTGGCAGCCGAGAGCCTCAACTCCAAGAGGTTGATGCTCTTGGACCTCATCGACAAGGCCCAGACTGAGTACGCGGACATGATCCCTGGCTACGTGACCACCGCAGCCAGCACTTGTGTGAGTGAGGCCACCAAGTTGGTGCGAAAGCTTGAGATGATCGTCGTCGCCAAGAAAGGCCACGGCGAGGATCTTATGCAAGAGGCGAAGGAGACGACGGCCGTGATGCAGGACAATCTGAACCGCATCAAAGGCCAGGTCGACCAGGCAGCTGCCTTCAAGGAGCAGGCCAGCTGAGAACAGTTTTGCTACAAGAGCTGCCCTCCCTGAGGTTTACCCGGGGTTGCACGTCTTGTGCAGGGCTCTTCGTTCCTTGAAGCATCCCTGAGGCCATCTGCCCGGGATGTTTCTGCTGAGGCTGGCCCAGCAAAAATATTTTGAGGTCTTGGGGCCCTCTGCTTTTCAAAAGACTTTGCAAGCTTCAAGCGACACTGCCTGAAACCCTATAACCCTATAAGCCCAAAACCCCTAAAGGCCCTAAAGCTTTTCAGGGGGGCCCCAAGGCGACAGGGAGACCATAGTCTGTGAGACGCGATTCGACGGGAAGAATCTCAGTGAAGAAAGGCTTCCTGTTTGCCGTGCAGGGGTTAGGGTTTAGGGGTTAGGGTTTAGGGGTTATAAGGGGTTAGGGTTTAGGGGTTAGGGTTTAGGGGTTAGGGTTTAGGGTTTAGGGTATATATATATATATATATATACATACGATTAATAGGATAAGTCCACAACCCCCAACCCTTACAAATTGGCACAGATGTGGAGGAACGAGCCACGAAAGAACCCGGCCGACCCCACCCAATGAATTCGTTGAATCCGAGAAAAAAATAGGGATGTAAAAAAAAATCAGGACAAAAAATCAACAAAAAAAAAAAAAACGTGTCGCGGGCGCGTCGCGCGTCGCGCGCGTCGCCGCGGGTCGTCGGGGGGGGTCGCCCCAACCGCGGGTTTCGGGGCGGCCGCCCACCCCCCGTCCCCCCAGCTACCCCGTCCCGGACCGTTGCGGGTCCCCGTCCCCCGCCCCACCTGACCCCGTCCCGACCGTTGCGGGATTTGGGGGTCGCCCCACCCCCCCATCCCCCGTCCCCCGCCCCACCTGACCCCGTCCCCCTCCCCACCCTGACCGCCCCAGCCCCTGCCCGCTCACCACCCGGAACTGCTGAGTTTGAGGTCAGTTTGAACGCAGTACCACCCCAACCCCCAAACCAACTTCCCAATTGGTTTTTCCTAAAGGGAATGCAGGTTTGGGGCATATATATATATATATATATATATATGTATATATATATATATATACCTGTGGCACCGCATAACCTTGTATACGCGGCTGTGGCCCGTAGTCGGCCGTATTTGCCGAACAAAGCGTTCATGGGCGTATTTGCTCAAGGGGTCGCACACTTTGTAGCGCCCAGGCGCTCAGGGTACATCTTCGAGAATCTAAGGCACCGCAGTTGGAGAGCCTATATACTTTCGAAGCCTTTGCTACCACAGTTACAAGATGGAGCCTTCATGAGCCTTCGTGCTGCACTGTAAGGTACGATCGATAGTATAGCTTCGATCATCATTTTGTCCTGTCGTGTGCTGGGGTGAGCTCTCATGGCAACGGGGGCCATATCGCTCTTTTCGTTGAGCAAGTTCCGGTGGTGCGCCCTCCCAGCTGATGTGATAATTTGGTGCAGGCATGTCGTGGGAATCTGGTGGCAAGCGTTACGGTGTGTGCTGTGCATGGTGCAATCGAATCATGTGCATGCGCATGGCAAAAGAGGCTCAAACTGTGCTCAACGTGCGTTGGGGTTTTGACCTGTCGCTTGTCATGGCGGCCTTGCTTTTGGGGCTCTACGAGTACTGGCTGCAAGATCCTGAAGTGAAGCACAGGATCGCGGATAGCTCGATCCGCGATCTTGTGAAAACTGTTGATGGATCCCCGATTGCGTTGCAAGACAGAGCACACGCACTTCTGAACGTCGCTCTGATTAGACCAGTGCTGCAGCGAATGTCCGATTGCAAGACGCTGGTGGTCAACGATGTGGATGAGTTCGTAGTGCAAATCATCGTGTTATGCGCCAAGATGTATGATCAAGAAGGCATTTCGGAGGATAACGCCATGGATGTTGAGTTTGAAGCTGGTGCTTACGATGAGCTCCGGGTTTTGGCGATGGGAATCAAGAGATGCGTCGCGTTCGTGCGCAAAGCCTTCATAAAGCAGCACCACCCCCAGGACGTATTTACAAAGCAGTTTCATGCCTGATGCCCATCACTCTGTCAATTGTCAACCATGTAAACTCCAACCGTCGCAGGACCCAAAGATGGAGGAGTTGCTTGCTATCTTTGGGCCCGCTGCCTCTTGGTTGCAACCCTCAAATTCCCAGCAGCTGCTCATCGATCTTTTTTCACTCGGAGCTCAGGTCGGCTATCGCGATGCTCCTGGCGCATCGGCGTTGCATCTCGACGACTACGACCCGGAGATAGCTGAGGACCCGCTGACCCCGAGAGGATTGCCGGTGGATCTAGTCGCTAGCAGAGAGCGTGCAGCTGGCAATGTTTTCGGGCCACCGCGATCAAATTCCGGAGAGGTAGGTCCACCCCTAAACATGGACGTGGCAGGCTACATCCCAGGAAATGAGTCGATGAACACGGGCTCCGGGCAGTCCTCAGGTCTGCGTGAGCCTCTTTCGGCTCCGCCAGCGGTGGAGCCGACTCCGTCCTGCGCAGGCTCTTGTTGGGAGATCAAGGATAGCGAGGATGAGGACACAGAGGCCGAGGTTCTTCAGATTCAAGAAGCTGTTTACGAAGCTCGGGCCCGTCTTCATCAGCTTCTTTTGAATGCAGGCGGCATCTAGGCAGCAACTTTCTGGGTGCAGGGGCCTCTTTGTTTTGCAGTTTTCTTGCAAGTGCAGTGCATGTGCTATGTCTTCTGAGATGCGCCCGCGGCCTCCGTTTCTGGGGAAGGTCCCCCTGATGCTCCGACGGCCAGCACCGACATGGACAACATGGAGACTCAGATGATGGAAGTGCCAACGCTTGACTTGCCGACTGGAACGGGTGTGATTCACCTGCAACTGCATGTGCCACTGTGTGTGTAACATGATGTAACATGTACGTTTGCACATGGAGCTCAACTAGCAGATCTAGGTTCTCACCCGCATGGAGCAGCATGACCTCAAGCAGAAGAAGAAGGAGAAAGCCGCTGCCAAGAAATCCGCTGCCAAGAAACCCAGTGCGAAGGCGGTGGATGATGCGGACATGCCGGGTGATACGGATGCTGCGGGTGCTGCAGACACAGAGTCACCTCAGAAGGTTAAGAAGAATCGCAAGGGCCGCAAAGGCAAGAAGCCTCGCAAAACGAAGGTTTCCCCGAAGCGGTCATTGCTGAGGCGGATGTCTCAGCACTCCTTCTCTGAGAGCCTTCCGGAGTCTTCTGAGACGGCGTCGCCACCTCGATCGATTCTCAAGCGCAGAAGCAGCCCTAACCCGAGCCCAGCCAGCAAGAAAAGCAAAGCCGTGCGCAACACCAAAGCAGCTGCCAAAGCCACTGAGCCCAAGCCGGCGAAGGACAAGACCGGCACCAAAGCTGCCACAGCAAGCAATGCAGGCAAATCGGCACCCAAACGCAAAGCCCCTGCCAAAGCCCCTGCCAAAGCCGACGAGCCCAAGTCTTCGGCAACGGAAAAGAACGGCGCGAAGCGAACCAGGGTCGGGCACTTTGCGCAGACATGCATGACATATCCGATGCATCACACTGTCCTCGGTGCACAAACTGCAACCTCAAACCAGGTTTGCTTCCAGCACGATGAGAACACGCAGCTGGTGAAGGATCTGCTTGGCCACTTCAACTGGGAGGAGGGGAATGACACGGGATCTTTCAAGATTATCCCCTACTGGAGCCGTGGCGATATGGCTTTGTCGATGAAAGACTGCGAGAACAAGAAGCTGAATGCAGCTTGATGGTACAGTCTTATGTGCTGTGTCGCTTATAGGCATGCAGTCCTCATCGTCGGAGCCACGCCGAGTGTGATGTGACCTAGGTGATCTATCTAGTCGGGCTCTCGACCAATGAGCATGCCAGTTTGATGGTGGAGCTGTTGGTTTGGATGGCTCCATAGCTGCAAATAGATATCGTCCCCATCGGCTGCGGTGTTATATGTCCATGCTCTTGCTCTATATTGGCATGCACACATGAGGCAAAGCAAATCGGCAATGGCCATGACCCTTCGACTGTCACTGACAGCGTGCAGAGCCACAGAGCATTTTTCAGAGACGACCAGCCTCGAAAACCGATGCTGAAGAAGCTGCGAGCCTTGCTCAACAGCCAGCTGTGAGTAGGGGTGGCTTGCAAGGGCATCAGGGTTCGCAAGGGTCGGTTTTGATATGGCTTGAGGCAAAGTCTGCTTCCAGGCACAACCGCATTCAGAGAAGACCCTGCGAACCCTCGTATGCCAGGGCACATCGTTCTACGGGGCGATGTGATTATCACGCCTTAAAGTTTCAGCCTGGGGTCCTCTTGCATGCTGACACAGCTCAGCAGTTGTGGCAGCACACGCAGTCAGTGGAAATTGCAGCTCCCGCAAATACATGCCGAAGCGTCTCGTCTGCTTCCATGGACATGTTTGTCTAAACCCCTGAGTCGCATACGCTCCAGCAGGTATGTGGGCAGCCCGGCGGGGCTACCGAAGAAAGAAGCGTCTTCCTGGCCAAAGTTCTTCGCAGCAGCTTTGCACTTACTCTGTTGTGCGCTGGAGCCTTTCGCTCAAGTTTCGGAGTGGATGTCAGTGCTGCCACGTGTTCGCAATGCGGCTTTCTGAATCAGAGACGGATCGCATGGTGCAGAAGCTTGTGGCCATACAGTGCCCCAAGGCCGACCTGTGTTTACCTGTGTGTGTGTGTGTGTGTGTGCGCATGTGTTTTCGAGACAAAGAGAGAAAGAGAGAGAAAGAGATAGAGAGAGAGGCAGACTGTGTGGGAGAAGAGGCAGACAGGGAGGGGCTGACGACTTTTGTGCGTGTGCAAGCGCATGACACAAAGCATTGCAGATCTTCATCTTCATCGTCTTAATGGTTTCGTGGCTGGACTTCACGCAGACCCCAGCCTCAGAGCCCTGGCGATCGTTTGTAGTCCGGCCTGCAGCCGCAAATTTGTGAATGCCGAGTCCTTTGCCAGCACATGCTATGCGAACTCAGGACTTTACGTGGATCGAGATGTTTGCTGGCTCCGGTGCGGCTACCAAAGCTGTCCAACAGCAAGGCTACAGGACTGCACACTTTGATTTGAAGGATGCTTCTGTGTATGGCTTGAACGAGCGTGGATCCGTCTTCGACATTTTGTCTCCGTCTGGATTCTCGAGTCTAGCCCGCAATCGTCGAATAACACTTGCGCTTGTACCGCATGGAGTGCCCCACTAGCCGTCACTAGCCCTCCTGTTCTGTCTCGCCGAGGTTACTGGTTATGGCAATTCTGGACGCCGATCCTCATGGCTTTGTTGTGTGGCTCGGTGTGCTATGTGCTTCCTGGTCCATAACAAGTCGCGGGACCAGTTTGCGAAGCTTCCTGAATCCAATCGGGCACGAGGGCTTACCGTTTGTGAGGGAAGGGAACATCATGGTCACCAGGACGGGCGGCTATCTGTTATGCTGCGTGTACACATGCACACCAAACCTGCAACACGCTGCTGCAAACCCGAGGACTTGTATGCTGATAGCCTTGGTTCTCGCAAGAAATGGAACCTATATAGTGGAGCAGCCTCGCCAATCGCTGCTCTACCGGCACCCCCGTTTCAGGTGGCTGTCTTCTGCAACACGGGTTGGGGTCTTGGTCTGCATTTCTCCAACAGGGCATGCTTGCGCAGCACGTCCTTCTATGAACTTGAGTCTTGAGTTCAGAGGTCTACCGCAGCTGCTGGTGGATGGGGCTCTACTCCGACCCAGCTACAGATGATAATTGGAGCCCCAAGCGACAGATCTCGTGGTCCAACAGTCGACACATTTGGTCCTTCAACAATGGGCAGCTGAGGCGACCTCGAGCTTTGAACCGCAAGACCAAGACTGTTATTCGGTACAAGGATGTGAAGGGGAAGAGCTGCTATACCGGGACGAAAAATCTCAAGCCCACCGAGAGTCTTTCTTGCATTTGTCGGTGCAACCATACAGGGCACACATATCACATCCATCCCACCTCAAACCATGAAGCCTCTGTAGCCTTTCTATTCTCAGGAGATATCCGCGAGCATTCGGAAGGCGAGTGGCCCAGCTGATGCCAAAGCTGCTCCAGGACCGCAAGGGCGTGGACGTAAAGGCGTCCGTGCCACGGGGCAAGACTGCCCTTGAGCTTTTCCAAGCTTTGTCGTTTTCTGATCCGGTTGAGGATGGAGAGCTTATCCAAGTGGCTCGCTACCTTAGAGGTTCCACCCGGCTTTGTGTGCCACCTGCGTGGCGAGCTGTTCTGCCAACCGAGCTGTAGGTGACATTGAAATCACTAAGTGATCCAAAAGTCTTTCCAGCCCATCACATTGAACGTCGGGCTCTTTACATTCACTGTAATATAGGCTCGAAGAACACGACTGGACACCAAACAGCTCGGACGGCATCCCGAGGGGCCACGACAAGGAAAGTCGTCATTTGGACGACTTTTGGGGAGCGGTGTGCATATATGCGCGTATTTGTGCGTATATGGGGGGGGCAAAACCCGTACCCAAACCGAAGTCGAAACCATATCAACATTTTATCGGCAAAAAACCGAACCCGTATATGCCCGAATATGCGCGTATATGGCCGAAAGCTAGCTTGCGTAAGACTGGGGTGCATTGCTGCTCCTTTGTGAGAAAAAGCATGCCTGAGCTTGCGTTAGACTGCCTTTGCGCTAGTCTTGCGCTAGCCTTGTGTTAGCCTTGCGTTAGCACCATCACCCCTTGTCCAATGTTGCTCGAGCTTGTCAATTTTTGTGGGGTACACTGATATACGGCTCCGCTGGCTGCACAATGGAACGAAAGCCCCAACAACTTGCTTCCCGTGTCTGGAGTACTTCGTCGCTTGCTACCGGAGTGGAGCATCTGAAGATGTGCAAGCGGGAGCCTGGTGCCAGTGATTCCAGAACCGCTGCTCGCGCGCGCGCGCGCGCGCGCATCATAAATTTTACGGAGTTTTGTGGTGTTGCGTTTGTTTGCTCAACACACAACCCCCAAAAAACCTCCCGTCTGCATAAGCACAAACAAGGCCAGAGCCCCTGTACCTCCGAAGGAGCCTGAGTCAGCCCCTGCGCCGGCTCCTGGAAATGCCGAGGCCGACCGTAGATGATGATGCACAGATGCATACCTGCGTGTGCCAGGACTCCGATCGCAGAAAGGCAATGCTCGAACAGATAGCGCAGCTTGAAGCCCAGCGGCGCAAACTGCACTACGAACTGTTTGGAGGGAACCCTCCGAAGCATGAGCCCCGCACCCCGGTGAGAACTCCTACAACCACGGCATCTTCCTCACCGCCCCCCTCAAGCCTGCGTTCTACAGCATCCACGGGCACTCCTACACCTGCCCAGCCTGATTCGAGTGGCGAGCGCGATGAGAAGGCACCGCCAGCACTCCTGCACATGTGTTCATATGCGTTCCGTTCATGGCATATACCATGAAATCCAACAACCCAAGGTCGAAGTCAGACCGGGCGGGCAGGTCTATGTGAATGGCAAGATCTTATCCGACAGTGCTGTTGAACAGCGCCTGCGACGACTCTGCAAGGTGCGCAAAGGAGGTGAATGCCCAGCTGGTGACGAAGCCAGGAAGATGTTTCAATCCGGCGGGGACGACCGTGCAGCCCTTGTGGAGATGTTCAAGCAGAGCAGTCTCAAGAAGGATCGGAGGGTCGGGCGGGGGGGTTGTGGGCATGCAGTATTTCGCAGCAGCAGGGATGGGTCCTTGCAACATGAAGGACGTGCTAAAGCGCAAGATTGTGCAGCACAAAGAGAAGGAGAAGGCCAAGAAGCTCCAGCTGAAATGCGGATGGTACACCGAGCAGAAGATGTCTACCGTTCTTCAGATGTGCGAGACCCTCGCCTGCAACTCTGTATGAATGCTGTTCGTTTGCATTTTCATGCGGTTCGCCTGTGGTGAGCACACCCAGGGAAGACATCAAATCAGTCGTGGCCTACACCGAGACCGCGTTGCGACGGCTCAGTCCTTATCTGCACTGATCAAGTCTTGAAGTGCCCAATATATGTTCTCGGAACTTAAGCGAGGCCATGGAAGTACAACACCAAGAAATGGGAGCACTGGGTTGACACAGACGAGTCGGGGGAGCTAACTTTCACGGACCGCGAAAGAATTCTCGAGGAGGCGACACTCGACCTTGAGAACTCGCCCACGGAGCATCTGGCACTGGATTTCAATGCTGGGCCCCGAGCTCTGCAAGACGGTGCCGGTCCCAGCGGAGAACTTGGCGTGGAGGGTGAGGCAGGGTCTTTGTACAGCAGAGTGTAGCATTCGACCCACAAACATGTTGGTTGTTTTTTGGATGTTCTGCCGTGCTGTTTCTATTGCGGTCTCTGCAGGATATCGTCGGCGACATCAACAAGAGCATGCAATGTCTGCTTGTCAAAAGCACCAAGCTTACAGACGTGTGGTCTAAGCTGGCGAGCTCTTCCTCTGCCGAGTCCACAAGGACCGGGACACACATCCACACTCAAATAACCCACGGACAATGTTGCATGGACTTTGATTTACCTTTGGCTCTTACTTCCCTGAAGGCTGGCGGATGAAGCCAAGACCCTTCAAGAGCAGTTCGATGCAAGCTATGATGCCATGGCGAAATTGCTACCAAAGATGAAGACTCCAGCAGGCGTCAAGAAGTGCCCTCGAAAGCAATACGGTAATTTTTGCAGCATGCAATTATAACCCTCAACCCCCGAAGAACTGAAGCCTTCTCCTTCAATCAGTGGCACCTTGAAGCTGCCACGAAGCTGGTCGAGGATGCTGAAGTGCTGTGTCCTGGTCGGATCAGATTCTAGCTGTGAGACTCAGCTGACTCAGCTGCGAGTTGGTAGAGTCGGTATGGTAGCTGAGGGCAAGTAAGTGCACACGCGTGGAAGCCAAAGCTGGGCCGGTCCTGCGCTCGATGAAGAGGGCGCCCGCTGCCTCGGAGACCGAGAAAGATACAGCAACACTGGCCACTGCTCCACGGGCTGGCAAAAGAAAGGCTGTGGCTCCCAAGGCCAAGGGTGCCAGCAAGAAGCCACGAGCGGGGAAGTGATCAAGGATCACAGGGGTGCTGCAGGATGCCTCTCTAGATGCATCCGCTTAGATTGTGAACACGGTCTGCAATGGGCTTCGGGGTTCAAGGAAGCCTCTAGTAGCACGCCGTGCGCAAGCTTACGGGGAGTTTGAACATACGAGCAATCGGCATCGATGAAAAAAGCGTGATGCACCAAGCGGCCTGCTGCTCGTCATCTGCTTGCAAAGAGCCAGCCACCACCATCGCTGAACCTCGATAGGCAGTTGTACCTACTGTCATTGCCAGGTTCTGTGGGACCACTTGGTGATCATGCTGCGATGTGTATCGCCAACGGGGCCGGGCCACACTGATCGAGATGAGTTTTCACATGCATGCAACACATAGCGAGTGAATAACCCGCGAGTTTGTTTCGTGCTGTCAGGCTACTGCTTCCTCCGTGGCCAGCATGGCCAAGGCAGCGGTGGAACACTTTGGGCCCACCTCTTGTCCGGTGGTCAGCAAACTCGCCAGAACGAGGAAGGATCGCGCCGAGGATGCATGCCATGAGGTGTTACTTACATGCCTTACAACACCCATGTTAATTGTACACATGCATCTCGATGTTTTCTTTCGTGTGAGTATGTGACATGTACGGTACGGGCCTGTTACACAAGGTTTCGAAAACACAGCCTCGAGCTGGACATACGGATTTCGTGGATCGATGTTGGCCTCCAGAACCAGAAGTTTCCCGTTCTGCAACCATGTGATACTATTCGGTTTATGGCTGCGCATGACGAAATCGGTAGGCTGGTAGGCAACACTGCCTTCGAGGATCTGGAGACCACGCTTATGGCGTTTTGGAGGAGGTACTCTATTTTGTATCCGTCGCATCAAGTGTTTGCAGAGGGAAAAGATTTGCAACTTCGCCACTGCATTCCTTGCTATCTGCACGGCGATGATGGACGATCTTTCAAAAAAAGCGGAGTGCTGCTGATCAACCTCCAAGGAGCCATCGGAACAGGATCCGAGCCTTTCCACAAGAAGCATAAGCTCAGTGAGCGTTTCCGGCAGGCTTCGATGGGTCTCAATATGGGGGGACACTCCTATGCCAGCAGACTGTTGTATTGTTCAATGCAGCGAAAGTTTTATGCAAAAGATCCACATGTACTCGAGAACCTTCTCGACAATCTTGCAACACAGCTCTTGCGATCACAGCAAGGTTTCGAGTACAAAAAGCAAACATGGCACATTGTTCTGCTGGGTGTCAAGGGCGATCTGCCGTGGCTGACAAAAGCAGCTGGATTTGAAAGACATTTCCTACGAGCACAGCGGTCGCTCAACCGGAAATCGAAAGAACCACCTGCAGGCGTCTGCTTTCTTTGTCATGCAGGGCGTTCCAACATTCCCTACGAAGATTTTTCTGATGGTGCTGCTTGGACCAGCAATGGTTGTGACCCTCCGTGGTCACGACCGCCGAGCCTGTTGAGGCTATACCATAACCCGACGGAGCCGTCTGCACTTTACAAGCTCGACATATTTCACAACTTCCACGGCGGGGCTGGGAAGGACTGGGTTGCATCCGCGATGACGGAGGCATTGAGCTTGCTTCCGGCTACGTCGCGGGAGGCCAAGATTATCTCCATGGCGGAAGTCATGCGAGAGTGGGGTCGCGATGATCCGAAGAAGCGTCCTCATTCAGGAATTTTTTGCGTTGACCGTATTGGCCTCACTTCCTACCAAGTGTGTCCGGAGGCCAGCTGGTCGAAACACAATGACACCACAATATATTTGAGATTCCTGCAGTACTTCCTGCATGCTCGGCCAGAGCATGCGCAAAGCGAGAAGCTGTCCCTCATTTACAGGGCGACTTGTGCCATCAACCTGTCGTTTCAGCTCCTGTACGAGTCCGGCTTGTTCATTCCGAAGGCTACAGCGCAACGCATCGCAGCGTTGGGCAGGTTCTGGTTGCAAGCTTATGCGGTTCTCGCTGTGAAATCACACAGCGAGGGCTTTCTCAGATTCCCATTGCATACGAAGCTGCATTATTGTGACCACTCGTGGAGGCAGCTACAGGAGCAGGCTTCAAAGTCTGAATGGGTATACAACATACTCAACGAAAGTGTGCAAATGGATGAAGATTTCGTAGGCCAGCAGGCAAGATTAAGCCGCAGAGTGTCCCCCGTTAGCAATTCATTTCGATCATTGCAGCGCTTCCTGGTGCGAGCGAAAGCGATCTGGGTCAATAAGGCCACTGAGCTCCAGGCGAAGCGGAAGCAGCCAGCAAGGGGTACTGCTGAGTAGAAAAGGCTTCGTGGAGCGAGCTTACGATGTGCAACAATAAAAGCATGCATATTTACATCCTCGCAATCCACCCCCGTGCTTGCAAAGCCCTTGCGTTATCAGAAACCCCATTCCGCAGCTCAACCGAATATGGCCGTATATGCGAAACGAGCGGTCAAGGGCGAAAGATCGGGTATACGCGGTCGTTTGGTGTTAAAGGTATGTATATATATATATATATATATATATATACCATGAGAAAACACAATTCGCACCCAGATGCGGATGTATAGGTTTTTTTGGAGGAAATGCATGAGCCCGTGAAATCCATGGGAAAACAACCAATTCGCAACCAGGTGCGAATTGGTTGTTTTCTCTCTCTCTCTCTCTCTCTCTCTCTCTCTCTCTCTCTCTCTCTCTCTCTCTCTCTCTCTCTCTCTCTCTCTCTCTCTCTCTATATATATATATAAAGAAATGCAGCTTTGCTCTGGGGGCTCTGGGAGCCTGGATGGAATCCATGGGCAGGGGGTGCTCTGACCATGGACCCCATCGGAAAACACAATTCGCAACCAGGTGCGAATTTATATATATTCTTATTTCTATATATATATATATATATATATATACACAAAGGAAATGCCGGTTTGGGGCTTGTGAAAGCGAAAACACCATTCGCAACTTCTTGCGAATATATATATATATATATATATATATATATATATATATATGCTAATTATATATACTGACAAAACCCTATGTGTGTATATATATATATAAAAAGCTTTGTCATATATAATTATAACCCATGCAGCCCCCTGAAGCCCTAAACCCTAAAAACCTTGTTGTCTCTTCTCATGTGCAGGCATGCTTGTGGAACCGGCGCTTCTGCTCAAACCACTATAGACTTTGCTTTCCAGAGGCATCGCCCTGGCTTACCTGCGACCTGTCCTGTTTGCCAGAGGCATCACCCTGGCACTGCGGAACTTGCAGCAGAGGCTTCGTCCCTGCGAACAGAAGGATGCACACGTACAGCCTGTTCAAGTACCAGGACATGCGTCACCTGGGGCGGAATGATGAGTGGCTCATTTTGCGCCACGACGGGCAAAATTTGGGCCACGTCTTCTTCCGTCGTCGAACCCGGACCAACAGAAGGGCCTATGCTCAACAAGGTTTTTGGTCCTTCGACGTCCGGGACAACGCAAATTGCATCACTTTGATGGACTTTGCATGTTGCCCGGATCAGGGCGTACGTCGGCATCCAGAGCTGCAATTTCGTGAGCTCACTGGCCGGGTTCACGGGCACCAGGTGTTTCGGACTCCGGATGGTGCCCGTGCGATCATGTATGTGGGCCAGTTCACCTTCATCCGCGCCTTGGGCGACGACGTGCCAGAGGGATGGGTGCTGCTCTGATGCCCACGCATGAACATGCTGCAAGGCTGACCTGCACGTGTGTTGCTGCAAAACAGCAGCCCGGAATAGGATCTGTAAAAGGTCCCGAAGGAAATGGCAGCTGCTATGCTGCACGGAATAGGATCTGCAAAAAGGTCCCTATACACGAGGCTCGCCTGCACACGCAACGGCATATAGGATCTTTAAAAGGTCCCGAAGGAAATGGCTCATATATATATATATATATATATATATATGATGACATTTCCAAACCAGCTTTCATCCTGCGAGGCTCTCCCGCAGGAGATAGAATCTGCCGCTTGCCCCTTTTGCGGAGAAAAAAGAGGGATACCAGATCCGTGCCAGTTGAGCAGGGCATGTGTGTTGATGAAAATGTATATAGGCAGTGATAGGTTCTTCTGTCATGAGCTTTCTGGAATCGGTTGATGTCTGCTGATTCCTGCTTGCATGGGCTCCTCAGCTATATAGTTTTGGGCAGGTGTGCCACAGGAGGCTAAGTCCCAACTAGACACAGGAGGCTTGCCCCTGCAACTGGAGGCTTGGCCCCATGGAAGGACAAGAAGGCGACAACGCTGTCGCGGAGCGGAGGCCCAAGATCCGGCGTTTGTCCCGAAAGATCCTCCCAGACACTCTCGACACCGATAGCTGTCCTGAGGTTGACCCAGCGGTGTTCCAGCTTGAGCTTAAGAACAAAGCTCTCCAGAAGCAAATCCAGGAGCTGGAAAAGATGCTAGCAAAGGAACGGGCCGAGGGGGATCTTTTGAGAAGCCAGGTCGCCGACCAAGCGACTCGCTTGGACTTTTGCTTCAGAACGGTGCAAGAGCTAGGCAAGAGTGTTGCAGCCTTTGGCGGTGCCCTTCTGCTGCATGCTCCACCGGCAGCAGTGCCTTCCTTGGAGTGAGCAAGAAGTGTGCGACCTGAGGAGGCTAGACTCTTCCGTGTGCAAGTCTGCGGCGTTTTCGCTTTCAAAACGCATGCAGACGAGCCTTTTTGCTGCATGCTTGACAAGAATGGCATATAGACACAATTCCTGTTTGTGACATGGCGTCTGCAGGGAAAGCAGCATAGCAAGGAAAAGGTGCACCAAACTTTTGCAAGCTCCTAAACCCACCTCCCCAGAAACCCTTGGCTATACAGCCAATGCAAGCGAGTGAGTTGATCTTGCAGGGTTTGCTTTTACATTTTTGAATCAACGGTCTTTTGGGCTCAAACAAGCCGGCCGGCCCGGCTCAGGCAGCAAAGCAGAGACTCTTGCCAGGCTTCGCTGTGCTGAAGGCAGGCGAAGCAGCAAGCAGGAGGACTGCCCCTGACAGCAACCCTTCATATATAGGGCACTGGAGGCTCGGCCCCGGTGAGGATATGAAGCGTCCAGCTAAGCGCCCGGCTGCTGCAATCAGCAGCAAAAGACCGGCGTGCGCGCAGCCGCCAGCAGAGGAGGTGCGTGACCTCAGCGGCTTCCCAGAGCCCAACGACTGGGCCTCCCTGCTTCCGCAAGTCAGCGTGCACCGGCCACTTGTGGTTTCGATGCCGTGTGTAGGTATCGATGGGTGTGGCTATGCCTTGCAGAGCCTGGGAGTTTCATACTCAGCAGTCAATGTATATGACTTGGAAAGTCGGTATGAAGCTCACTTGCGGAACCACTTGGGTGCAAGTTGCGAACTGCACCTAGGGCAGGTCGAAGGAGACCTGACAAAGCACTTGTACAGCAGAGGCTTGCCCTGCGACCTGCTTGTGTCAGGACCCCCTTGCCCGCCATGGGCTGGCAATGGCCTTAAGGGAGGAGCACAGGATGCACGAGCAGACGTTTTCACAAGCGTGCTGAAGTACTGCGTGCACATGGCCACCATGGGCAGCCTCCATGCTGTGGTGTTGGAAAATGTCCGTGGCATCCTGGAGAAGACGAAGCAGGGCCCGTCCTTCATGGATGTGGTGTTGGAGGAGGTCAGACGGGCTTTGCCGCACTTCGACTGGCAAGTCGCGGTGCTTCGTGCACAGGACTTCCGCTTGGAGCAAAAGAGAACAAGGGTGTTCTTGCGTGGTTTGCGGAGGTGCTTTGGGGAGGTTCCAAACCCCCTGGCACCCATGGGCGAAATGCCTCTTGAGGCGTTTCTGAAGCCAAACCTGCCTCCTGTCAACCGCAGCTCCGTGACAGCGTGCATACGCCGCAACTTGAACGACGCAGAGCGCGAGCTGTTGCAAAAGTGGGATAGCGGTGAGCTGTCTGCCGAAGACATCATCTGCTTCCCAGCGGATCGGGCGAGCGGAAAAACGTACGCCCGTGTTTACCAGAAGAACATGGTCCCGACCCTCACCACCGCGGGTATGTACCTGTTCTTGGTGTCGGTTGGCTGCCTGCGCAAGCCCGACGACAAAAGGCGGTACTTCAGGTTCTTGGATTCCACGGAGAGGTTGACCCTCCAAGGATTCAAGAAAGACGTGCTGGCAAGCAGCCCGGACTGCTTGCGCAGGAAGGCGGCCGGAAATGCCTACCCTGTTCCGCTTGTGGCCGCGGTGCTTGCGCCAATGCTGCAGCAGCTGTCCCAGCCCGACCTGCAAAGCGAGTTGGACCGCGCACCGGAGAAGTCCTCTGTGAAAGCTGCCTTGGCTGCTCAGAGGTTCGAGGAGGCCCTCGCTTCCAGAAGCACAGCTGCAGCTGCGTGCAACCGTGAGGTGCAGGCCACGCGCATGCAGCAGCAGCCCAAGAAAGCCTCGCAGACCAGATCCGCTGCGGCTTCGAAGCCCCAGCCAAAGAAGAGGCGGGCAAACAAGTGGATCAAGTCCAGCAGCTCTTCGTGAACAGTCTGTGGCAAGGCTGTCCTGCCATAGCCTGCGCAAAGCATGCTCCTGCATGCTTCTTGCTGTCAAGGCATGCCTGATAGCGTTTTTTTTTCTTGCTTCCTGCTGCAATTGTTTAATTTTCCGTGCTTGGCCATCTTTGGTCTCCCGTGTCGGATGTCGGCGACTGGAGTTTTCGGACAAAAAAACTTCCAGGAATGTGATGGCAAGTATTCCATAGATAAACATATGGTTATTTGCCTATATACTCTAAACCCTATAGACCCAGAAATCCCTGTAAACCCTGTAACCCTGTAAACTCTACTATAAGCCGATAAGAAGGTGACTCCGCAGTAATCTGGAAACTTCACCTGTTTTGCCCAGTTATCATGCAAGCTCATACACGCGGCTGTTTTGGGCTCACATGATATCTATATATAGAGGCTGCAGCAGAGGCAAATCCCTGCTGAATTTTTGCAACGAGAACTGCAAAGGCTTTGCCTTGCTGGGCTGGCATAGGAGCGGCTTCCCCTCTGTGCCACAAGCAGCAGCATGGCCACGAAGCGGTTTGAAGAAATGCTAGCATTTTTGCAAGCGTTGAAAGCAACTTCTGAAAGCAGTACTGTTGCTGCAACGCAAGAAAAAATGTTGCGAGGGTGCTTGAAAGACCTGCAGCTAGGTCCGCCCGTGAGCATGGCTGCTGCGCAGACGATGCTGGAGCATCTGGGCAAGGCTGGCCTGCCCACCGGCATGCAAAGCGCAATTGCTGAAGCAATTTCTGCCAAGGTTGCAGCACCAGATGCGGAGGCCGCTGACCCAGAAGCACGGGCCCAGAAGCCGAAAAAAGGCCAGCAGTGCCACAAGTACCTGCACCACTTCTTGTGCGAGTCGGACTGGAAAAGTCTGCAAGGCTCTGTTGCCTTCCAAGCAAAACAGCAGACGCTGGCGAAGCGTCTTGTGGCCATGGGCCTCACCAACCCGACTGAGAGTACGTACGTGCTCGGAGTTGCTGTGTTGTACCTGTCACAGCACGCAGGGCCAGCAGAGACCCTGCAGGTCTCACCGCAGGACGGCTTGAATACGCTGGAGGAGCTCAAGGTAAAACTTCGGGCTTGGGCTAAGCGGGGAACCCACTCTGGGTTGTCAGAATACCCAAAAGCACCGCAAGAGCTGCCTCAACAGCTGTACAACGCTGCGTTTGCTGTGGAAGGCCCGGCAAGCTGCCCGTTGGACGAGGACCAGCTGCTGGCACTTGCAGACTGGCTGCCCGCACGTAAGTCGAAAGCTACGCTGCTTGCAACAAGGCGTGCGCGAAGCCTGTTTGAGGGCATGCCGTCGCAGCTCCAACAGCAGATGTGGATGATGCAGATGCAGCTGCAAGCAGCTCAGAAGCAGGGAGACGACTCTCCACTGCCGGGCCTCACGTTTCTGCCACGCAAAGCAAGGCAACCCAAGGCCTTGCAAAATGCTTCAGCCAGCTCAAGTCCCGAAAAGGAAGGTCACTCCCAAGCAGCACCTGCAGAGGAACTCCCTGCCGCAGCTGGCCTTGCCTGCCCCAGAAACCGCAGCTGCGCCAGAAGCCGAAGAGTCCGTGGACCGCAGGGCCGAACTCGTCAACCAACACTTGCAGAACAAGCGCAAGGGTCCGAGCGACAAGGACGAGAAGCCGAGCAAAACTGCCAAGGTGCCCAAAGCAGCCTCCAAAAGGAAGGCAGAGCCGAAACCCAAGACGGCCACCAAGGCCAAGAGCGCAACGAACAAGCTGCCGACAAAGGGCAGCACGGAGGCACGCGACCCCATCACTCTGGAGAAATGCTCCGTGTACACATGCCCGAAGAGCCAGAACTGGCGCGTGAAGCTGCATGGAGAGAGAAAGGACAAAGCCTTCTCTTGGAAGTCTGGAACGACCGAGGCATGGACCCGGCTTAAGGAATATGTGCAAGGCTTGTAGCGAGGCTGGACCCGCGCATGTCTCACGATTTGTATCGAAATTTGCAGACCGAAGTGCAGGGGAAATGCGCGTGACATGCAGAAAAAAGTCGCGTTTGGGCTATCCGCATAAACCAAAATAACCCTCGGAATGAACCAAATTTAACCCTCATAAAGTCCTCGCAAACTGACCAGGAAAGTCCTCGCAGATTGCTATTCATAAGTCCCGCATAAGTGACTTATAAGTCCCACGATAAGTCTATCGAAAAAACGTAACGATAAGTAGTTATAACCGGGCTTACAAGTCCATAACCAGCAAGGCCGCCGTAGCAGTGCTGTCAAAAGTCAGCCACTTGGGTGGATTGCGAATCCTTCGGCTCTGTTTTCACAATCTCTTTCTTCACAGCCAGGAGAGGAGACGGCGATGTTTTCGCCTGTAGAGCCGGAGAAGTATAAGGGTATCGTAGACCCCGGGGCATAAGCAGGAAAGGTGTATATAGGCCTGGCCATTCACCCGTCTTGTCAAGAGGATCTTGCACTCCTGGCGAACACATTAGAAGTTGTTGAAGAGTACGGTTTCAAGAACTTTCATAGGCTTAGCATGCAGAGGAAGTCCTCAATGGCCCGTAGTAGTGCTTCTCGGGACAACATCGAAGAATCAAGAGCCAGCTCCAACCCCACCATATCAGCAGCTAGCTTGGCCCCCTTGGCCAAATCTTGGGTACTCAGCCTCGTAGCCGAGGCACCGCTGGAGGAGGCCATATCGTCGTGGCCTTGCACCCTGGATGCAAAATGCACGGGTGCTCCTGTAAGATAAAAGAAAGCTTGAGGCACACAAAACCGAAGGCGACAATTTGTCCACTACTGCAAGTGCATGTCGAAGACTGCATACAGTCACAGCGATAATCAGCATTCGTCGCTTTTTTTGGGGCAGCACACAATGTCGAAGTTCTGAGAACCATTGTGGGATCTATACTATCGTGGCTCCCCAAGCAGGAAAGATGCCCACAGGGCTTGCTAGGATTATAGCCAGGGGCTTTGATTCAAGGATTCAGAGCTAGTTTAGGAGGTTGAAATGGGCCTTTTAAGATTTGGGGGCTTTGAGGCTTGAGGCTTTGGGCTTTATAGGGGCTCCTTATAGGTCTATTCGGCTATATTGGAGAACTTGGGGTCTGGATTGCCAGTGTACAGGGCTCGTTTGTACTGGTTGGGGTTTAGGATATAAAACCTTTGGGATCTCGGGGATCATGTTCTTATCGGAGAAAGAACAAAAACCGCTCAAAAGAGCTTTGTGTTCGGGTGGCCAAAGTAAAAATTCACATAGAAACCTGCCTGGATCCCTAAGGTGAGTGAAAAGAAGTCTCTTCCATAGCCACCAGGAAGCCCATTCCCAGGATTCCGAGCCCTAGGGAGACGGGACAGACAGCAAAAGCACTGAAAAATGCGCCTCAAAGTCGCCGGGTGCCGGCAACGCATTCGACGGGTTCCGACGCATTTTCCGAACGCATCCGAACGCATTTTGAACGCATGCGCTTTCTACGGGTCCAACAAGGCGGATTCCACGTATTCGACGCATCGCCGCCAACGCTTCCAACGGGTTGCTCCGGGCCTGCAACGCATCCAACGGGTCCAACGGATGCGAGCTACATTGCATCAAAAAGCATTGATATTTTGACAAAAACATACTTGCGAACAACAAACGGGAACGTGGCGACCAAGCAAAGGCCCAACATCTCCAAAGTTTGCTCCAATATGCGAACTTAAGCAGAAACTCTGCTCCATTATGCGAACTTAGCCCAAGACTTTGCTACACTGTGCGAACTTGATCAGGAACCTGGCTGTGTAATTGTCGAAACCCACCGAGGCTCAGCTATACACTCAATGGCCACAAGCACAAGAAGCCAAGTATTCCGCCATGCCACATATGATGTGGGTGTCAGAAAAAATCAGAAAATTTTTCTGAGTTGGCCACCCGAGACGAACAAAGCTCTTTTGTGTCCCCGACCCCAGAAAAACTTATAAACCCGGATCTGACCCTATGAACCCGAAAGTTCTTTAGTCTGCTGGCTTATAAAACCTTACAAACCCGAGCCCGAAGATCTTTTATATCCTATAAACCCCTTAAGAAACCCTCTCCATATATAAGCTCATCTATTTTGTGCCTTGAACCCGACCCTAAACCCAATAAGCCTGTGATGGGTTTGTGGCCCAAACAGTAGAACTTCCTGCCATGGGGTGTCAACAAGCCAATATTGCCGAGTCTATGCTAAGCTCCAACCAAGCTCATGTCACTGTGTTGGAGACAGGGGACCCTAGCAGATCAAGACCTTTTGGTCTTTGGAGTTAGAGGGGTTGAGGGCTTAATAGGGTTTAGGGTTTAGTTTCTTTACATAAACAACCATATAGCCACAAAACTAGGAGACCCTAGCAGATCGAGACCTTTTGGTTGAGTGCTTAAAAGGGTTTAGGGTTTATAGTTTCTTATAAACAACCACAAAGCCATAAAACTAGGAGACCCTAGCAGATCTAGGCTTTTTTGTTAAGGGCTTAGGGTTTAGGATTTAGTTTCTTGAAACAACCACAAAACTGGAAGAGTTCCCGGCACTCGACTCTTGGCTCAGGCTCCACTTCCGGCCCACTTCGTTTGCACCTGCAGCACATCACGTGAAACTTGGCAACCCCTCCGTCTCTGCTCCCTCTGTCAGTCCTTTTTCCTGCCTCCCCCTCTCCCTGTCTTTCTTCCCACCCTCCCCCTCTCCCTCTCCTCTCCCTCTTCCTCTCCCTCTCCTTCTCCCTCTCCCTCACCCCTCCGTCTCCCTCCCTCCCCCTCTTCCTCTCCCTCGCCCCCTCTCCTGTCCCTCTCCCACTCTCTATCTCCTGCTCTCTGTCTCCCTCTCTTCCTGGCTGCCAGACTGACAAAAGCAAAGGGCTAGTGCTCCAGAGCCACTGTGGTTGCTCTACCCTATAAACCCGAAACCCTCAATAACTTAACTCCCTAGACCCCAAACTTTCAGTGCAGTGTTGGAGAGTATAGTACCAAACCCCAAGGCAGTCCACTCTACATACACAAGCCCACAACCTGAATGCTGCCTTCCGGTGATTTAAAACCCTAAACTCAAACCTTTAAAACCCCCTAGACCCAAAACCTTCAGTGCAGTGTTGGAATGGTATGGTATACTATGAAGCCCCAAACCCCTTCCCCGACACACATACTCAAAACCTTAACCCTGCCTTCCGGTGCCTGTGTCTTGAGAACCATGTACTTCTCGTAGTTCTGGGTGCAAGGGCTCAATAAGGCTTCTTGGGGTTGCTGTTTAGTGGTTTACGGGCTTGGGTCTTAGAAGGGCTTGAGGTTTAGGACTCTGCTGTTGGGCTCTGGTTCACAAGGAGCTTGAAAAGCTTGCTTGTAGCTTACACGCAATAGTGGTTTAGGGGCTTAGGGGCTTAAAGGGCTAGAGTGCTTGTATAATATAGGGCTCAGAAGGGTTTGGGGTTTTAGTCATTGTTGCCGGGTTTTGGTGCTTTCGATATCGAGATTGAGAAGTTCGGGGCTGCTTGTTTAAGGAACCACATAGCCTTTCGGGGCTGCACTCTCTCTAGATATATATATATATATAATATGTAATATACACACATAGAAGGTAGTGTGTATATATATATATATATATGCAACATATGATACACATAATATATCATCTGTATACAGATGATATATTATGTGTAACATACACAGGGCTTTATGATTGTTGCACACCCCAAGTGTTTATGTATATGCTTATACAGCACTCTTCTAATGTGTCTGTGCAGCCTGCTAGCAAAAGTAAGAACTCTACGGCCCCGAAGCCCCGACATATATCTCGCACTGCTGTTGCAAATCAAGACCTACATATGGAAAACAAAGCACCCCTGCATCCGGCAGTCTCATGAACATCACCAGAGTCCGAAAACCCTAAGAGGATCCCCTGTCTTTATGCAGGGCAGAAGAACTCGAAGTGGCACCCCACGGTGCTTATCCGAACCAAAGATGGCACAACGACATTGGCGAAACACCCCTCAAGGACCCCAAACCCCTAAACCCGTTAGGGCCTGCTATAACAGCGGCGAAACTCCTAAAGCCCAAAAAGCACATCCAAGGCTACTGCAGCACTGCAGGGCGATGGAGCACTGCGGGGCGACGGCGATGACGGAGCCAACATCCTGAGGTGGCTGGGGCTTCTGGTATTTAGGACTTAGCACGATCTCTTCAAGCCGACTTGGTCATATTGAGAGTTCACATGTATCTAGCAGCCCTACATAGATTGTTCGACAACCCTGCACACCTACCTCTATAGAGAGCGAGTTGCATCCGATCAGTAGTCGGTGCGACTGCATCAGGATGGCGACAGCAGACTGGACCTGGGATGGAGCGGGCACGATGTACAGAAGCGGCTAAGGGGCTTCAGGTGCAGCGCAGCATACTTTCGAACATAATGCTATGTGCTAGGATCACGGCCGGCTTCCACTCTGTAACTGCCGGCATGGCGGCTCTCGCTTACATCGCTATTATTGTATAAAGTTGTGCAGATTCACAGAAAGAGCAGATATCGTTCCTAGACGAAGAACACAGAGTTTCGTGCAGCACCGGTGCGTCACGATTTGCTGGTGTCGTGCGTAGATACGACAGCGGCTGCTTGAATCGAGCACAGAGTCGCTTCTGGGAAAATCATGATCTGACTCGGCCCCGGCCAGTTCACAGTCATCGATGCTACAGGTTGTTAAAACATTGTAGGGTTCAGATATGACTTACATTTGGGGATGTAGTATTTAGAAAGATCAATGATCAAAGGGCCCATGACCAATAAGATTGTTCTATATTCTATATATATATATATATAAGCTTGAGGATTATAGGGTCTTACACAGGGTATAGATAGGATCAGGTTTCAGGGTTGATTGTCGAGCAAACATCGAACACGAAAGACAAAATAGCCACTTCCGCCCATGGCACAAAGGGCTCCGAAACAAGCCCGAGGCCGAAGATTG